AGACTCAATTATCATTAAATTATCTCATAATAATTTATGATATGTTATTAAGACTGAAACTAAGCTAATTATTGACTCTGATGATAATGAATTTTTTTGTACTGGTAATTCAACTATTTTTAGTCTTTGTAATCTATATAGAGGGGTGTATTTTCTGTCCAATATAAATAACTCCAAAAAGGTGTCTAAGAATAATATATTTTAGAAAGTGTTTAGTTTAAAAATAAAATAATTAATTATTAAAAATAACTACCTGAGTTTTGAAGAAGAAAAATATTTAATTTTTGGGAGATTGCTATGATTTGAGACATAGAACTTGTAGGCATTGTCTACTGAATCTTTTGCAAACTTCTCTAATTTTACTCTATTCTCTTTTTTATGAATTTTAGATTGTGCAGTATTTGCAAAAGGACTATTTGAAATTTTGCCATACAACATTTCCTAAACGTATATTATATTATTACTTGAATAGGTTCCAAGTATATCAGGTTTCTTAATTGGCTTATCATCAGCGTCATTTCTTTCTCGAGTAGCTTTACTCATTACATTGTACCTAATTTTTAATAAATAAAAATAAATAATAATAAATAATTCAGTAATAACATCACCTTTTTTTTAATAAGATTTACTATACAATCGTTAAATCTGATAAATCAAAACTGACAAATCGGCAAATTGGATCAATTATGTCATGAGCCTATGTACTTTCATTTACAGATTTTTTTGTTTATATTTAGGATTATCTTAAAGTGATAAACTATTTAAAAAAAAGTACAAATAAGATAATTAGTATTGTATATAAATTGTTAAATATATAGTTAAACTTACATACTATCCAAAAATTTTACGTAGCTCTAAATAATAGTTTATCTTTTGAATTAATTTTTTTTGATATCTCTGTTTCTTGATTTAAAATATATTCTTCTATAAACTTTTTCAAGTCATCTGGCAAATCTTGGATTTGAATATTTTCATTCAATTCATTCCAAATTCCTGCAGATTGGTATTCATTTTTTAGATCTTTATGATAAACTTCTATATATTGAATGTCCAAGATTCCTGAGAGTAGTAAATCATTGTATTTAAATTGGATATTATCTACTATTTGACTAAATATCTTTACAACTTCATTTGTACTATCTTGAAACTGTAACTAGTACACAAAATAAGTAGTAATATATTAGTATTATATTCTTGATAGAGATCTCTTCACAGCTCTTATATATAAATAAAATTGGTATCACCTAAGACAATTAAAAACTGAACATACTTCATTTAGAAATGCTTTTGCCTGCACCAGATCAAGATTTGGACATACTTCATAAATAGTTCAATTCATCCCTTGCCCTTGGCATATCTTTCAACATATATTCCATATTTTAAATATTGATGATTTTTTACAGCTTTCTTGATTATCTTCAAAAAATCTTCGAGCTGTTTTGATTTTGTCAATTCTGATTTCTAAATATAAAAAAATAATTAGTATATTATTGTATAAATTTTTTTGATTTTAGTTTCAAAAAAATTCAAATAGGTAATTTTGCAATAAAATATAAACACAATTACTTTGAAATAGATATTATTAAATTATAAATATTAAACACTAAACTGTTGTTATCCTTATACGTGAAATATTAAAATGCTTAAAATATATAATATTTATCATTCAAGAAGGATTTTGGTTTCCAAAATCAAATTGTTAACAGTGTTCAATAGTGTAAATAATATTTAAGTTATTCACCAAATAAACTATGTTGTCATCCTTGTGCTCAAGAAGGATTTTGGGAACCAAAATCAAATTGTTAGCAATATTGAGATGGTGCTTATCTATTTCCAGTGTTTATTTGTAAATTACAACGGGCGGCTTTATCATTATTTAATATACAATATAAAAATAAAAACTATACTTTCCTTGTCTGTGTTTGGATGTTTATAATATATCATGTTAATTTTCTTAATCAAATCTTTATCTGTAAGATCAAGAAGACCTTTTAAAGCGGCAAATAACCAAAAGTCGTGACATCATTTGAATTGTTCAAATATAAATTGTGTAGTCTTAATATTTTTTGTTTATTTTTGTTTATTTTGATTTTGTTTTGTTATTATTTAAACTACATCTTGCATTTTTAATAACCAATCAATATTTTGTACAGGGATCTAACAATATCTAAATTTTATATATATTGTAAAAATTTACTTTAAAACGTGCAAATCTATGTGAAATTGACGATTTAAACATGTTTCAAAATTCCAAAACCAATTTTCACAATTATCCAATTATGAAATCGCTATAAGGCTAATTGTAATAAGATTAGACCATGTGCTATTTTATTTTGGCTTGAATTATTGGAATATTGATATAGAGAAGTGTGAAATATACATAAATCAGTTACTAGAAGAACTTAATATACGTGAAAATTTTAACATAACATTTATTTTACATGAAATATACTGGTTTTTTAATATGGTATATTCTTACACTGTTAATGATTTCAGACACCCTGGCATGCCATTTGCTTATATTATTTTAAAATATATAATCACTTTTTGTGTCTTTTTTTCTTTTTTCAGATTTATACTTTGTATATATATGAATTTTTTCATATATTTGGTTCTTCATATTTTATTAAAAGCTCATCCTTTGGTTTTCAGTCTACTACTTTATTTCTATAATATTAAATTCATATTCTCATTTTCTGCATTTTTTGTATTATTTTTGTTAAATATATTATTAATAATA